GCCTCAGCCTCCCAAAGTGTTGAGATTATAGGCGTGAGCCACTGCGTCAGGCCTGGGTAATCCCAGTTTTAAGAGCCTCGGTAGTCCTGCTGTGCAGGCAATGATTCTAGCCTCTGACCCTCCGGCGGAAGAACAGGTGTTACCAGGAAGTGTTTAGGGAGTGGACCATGAGATGCTCACAGTCCTAGCAGAGAGGCAAGAAAAGAGAAAATGTGGTTTTCGGAGCTGAAAACAGTGACAGTTCACCCCCACAAGGGGTATTTATGAGTGACAGGGGTGGGGCCTGGACATAAACAATTTCCCCCTGAATCTAGCTATAGGGTCATGGGTGGTTGATGATCTGCGAATCCATGTGGCTAAGGAGACGGCAGGCTGAGGCTTTGAAAGTTAGATCATGCTCAACAGCAAGGGTTCACCATCAGCATTCTTCGATTTGAAATCCAAGTGTTGAATCCCCTGGGCAAGCCAACGCAGGAGATGGGGCCACAATCGCCAGGCGTGTGTGAGAAATGGGGAGAAAAGCTACCACACTCTTGTCACATGAGGGTATGCTCTGTGGCTTGTTGGAGGGGCAGCGGAGGGAAGTCCCTGCCAGCTGCAGCTCTCAGAGGGAAAGAAGCACTCTGTGGAGCACTGGTTCCAGTGAAGAATGTTCTTAAGAGAGACAGAGGTCAAGATGATAAGGCTGTTGCTTTAGAAAGGAAGGTGTTTCCTTAGGCTTTTGCTTCTACATTCAATGCAAATCTAAATATTCAATATGGCTGTGAGCAAAATGAATTAACATCAAGTTCCAATGGCAGACATTTACAAAGTACCCTTTCTAAAAGGCTAGGCAATATTAATAGCATTCAAATAGGAGTAGCAGGGCCAGGCACTTACTCCCAGTAGGAAACTCTCTCAACAGACTCGGTATAGGGCTGAGTATTGTGCCGCTCCGCTCCTTATCAGTCACCCTAAAAGTGTTCCTTCCTTCAAAGGTAGATGGCAGGAAAGAGACTGACGAAAGCTCCCAAAGAACTGGGCAACAGAATTTTCTGAGAAGATGAACACAGCAGAAACACTGCAGTTGATGCCATGGGTCTGGTTCCATCCCCATCAGTGTCTTCATGGACCCCATTGGGTCCAACAAGAAACTCCTCAGGGAGTAAGAAAAGTGAGGCTCAGATCTCCTTCTTCCCACAGCCACAGTGGCACTGGTGACAGCAGCACATTGAGGGGATTTGTGACTGTAATTCGGCTTTTAGCCTTTCCTTAAGGAAATCAAAACTAGGATATTTCTCCACAGATTACACATCAGCACGGCTCATTTCGGGAAGGACTTGGCAAGCCACTTTGCTTCAGAACAGAAGGCAAATGCTATAGTGGACCAGGAAGAAAAGGCCTCTGTGGATTACACTGCCTCCTTCTTCTGCCCACTCCTCAGGGGCAAAAAATTAGTTCTACATTTGAAAGACTAATTTTAAAAATTAATAAAAATGACAATTTCCCTGTCGAGATCACGTGAACATAGCATGAACGTGAACATACCCTGGGGAGGGTGAATGGATGCAGAGCAGGCTTCTAGGGTGCAGTCCACCTCCTTGGTGGGGTGACTGAGGTCTCCTGGAGGATAGGCTGTTTCGGTTCCCCCAGTCCTAGGTCCTCTTGCCTCAGTTGTCTTTCCTTTGTAGCTGTCCTTAGGTTTAGTGTTGGGGTCACAATTTGGAATTCAACAGAGAGTTTCTGAAGGTAATGGGACATGGGGAGAGGAGAGGAAAGGAGGGAGGAAAAATTAGTCTTCTTCATCCTCACTGATATCATAGGCTGCCACCTTGCGCCTGGAGAGATTTGCTGGGGAGCAAGGTGGGGAAGTCTTGCCAGAGAAGGGCCATCGGAAAGAGGGGGAGGGGGAGCGTTCACGAGCAGGGCTGCTGCTGGGACTCTGCTTTGGACTGATGGCCTGGAGCATCCGGCCTTTCCCCTCTTTCAGCATATGTTTCTGGAGAAATCAATAGGAAGAGTTAGAAAAAAACCTGTGGATCCTACTAAATCATCCCTGAAGCATCTGGGACTAGGGTAGTCTATGCTACACTCCATATTTAAGGGATCTCACCTGCTATCATCCACTGGGAAATTCCCCATTCGTCCTGAATAATCTATTCTAGTATCCAAACACCCTCACAGACAGATCCTTCCTGTTATCTAACCTAGGGCTCACTTGCTCAATCCTGTATTGGATTGAAAAGACAGCTACTCCTCCAAGACAGAATTCCCACCTGACCTCGGGGTCCTGCTGTAGCTACTTGGAGTGGAGGCTGCTTTCTTTTTATTGTTCTTTATTCTTTCCTTTCCTGCTACGTAAAATCATACCACAGAAAGAAGCCGGGCAAGGCTACTTGCTTATCTTGTCACCAGATTTCAAGGCTGATAGAGAGCTGGCAAAATTATCAGGAGAATGTGTAACCGCTTTCTGTAAAGATTTCAGAAACCTTTTTGGGGACAGTTGAAACACAGTTCTGCCCAGATACGGGGAACAGATTAGATAACTTCTTAATGTCGACGTCCCTTTCTGCTCAATGATTCCATAATTCTCTCCACAACATGGGAATTCCCTAAATTATCCAGTGGGAAGAACATACCAGTGCTCCTTCTGGACCAAACATTTCCAGAAAACTTCCGATGAATTCTCGGGACTTCTCCTCCCATTTCTGAATGAGGTCAATGCTTTTTTCCTCCACCTTCTGAACAAATTCTTTTGACTTTTCCTCCACATCTTTCACTTTCTTCTTTACTTTATCAACCCTCTCCTGCAAGTGGTATTTCTTCTCCTAGATTAAGAAATAACTATTTTGAGAAATAATACTCATCCTAAACTTCCCTGCCATAAGAGAAAGAAAAAACATAGCCCACTGTTTTCAGTCTAGAATTTTGCTTTGCTTTAATCTACCCTACATCATTAGCATAATAACAGCTAAGATATATGCTATGGAATGCTCATACAAAAAGTGGTAATTCTAATACTGTGGGCATTTGGGACTAAACTAAAAATATGGGCTATACCCAGTAACGGACAGGCACATAGCCAAATGAAGTCAGAGTTTTACAGATAAAACATAAACTTGGAACATAAACATGTCCAGTATGACCCAAATCTCATTTTAAATGGAGATACAGAGGCAGCTAAAAGATCACTGCAGAATACTGCCAAGAATAAACCAATTACAATAGACTGAAAGAGGAAGTACTAGATCTTTTACTTAATTAATCTGCTTATCATGCTAGATGTTTCCCCTCTATCACTGGTTTATTCTATTTTTAAATGAGTTGTGGTTTTTGCTTTTTGTTTCTTCGGTATTTGAAAGTCCATTTACTCATCTGCAAAATGATGAAACTCTTTGGTCTTGCCAACTTTCCTAAAGATAAGGAAAATGGTATAAGCCTGGAGGGAAGGAAATATTTAGTCAAATGAAAAGTATCGTTGGCCAGGCACAGTGGCTCACGCCTGTAATCCCAGCACTTTGAGAGGCCGACGTGGGAGGATGCTTGAGGCCAGGAGCTCGGGACCAGCTGGGACAACACAGTGAGACCCGACCTCTACTAAAAATAAAAATTAAAAAATTAGCTAGATATGGTGGCTTGTGCCTGTGGTCCCAGCTTCTCAGGAGGCTGGGGTGGGAGAATCACTTGAGCCCAGAGGTCGAGGCTGCAGTGAGCCAAGATTGTGCTACTGTGCTCCAGCCTGGGTGACTGAGTACAACTCTATCTCAAAAAAAAGGAAAAGTACTCTCATAACTTTCAGATCATAAAGAGGAAAAGGATTATGTTTAGAATTTTTAAACACCTGATTCTTATGGGGAAAATAAAGCTATAGTAAGTAAATTAACAAAAGCTAGGGTTTATCTGCCTAGATAAATCATATTTAAATGTAACCATTTTATCTATTTTTTTGTTTTTTGTTGTTGTTGTTTTTTTTTTGAGATGGAGTTTCACTCTTTTTGCCCAGGCTGGAGTGTAATGGCACAATCTTGGCTCCCTGCAACCTCCACTTCCCAGAATCAAGAGATTCTCCTACCTCAGCCTCCCGAGTAGCTTGGATTACAGGTGTGTACCACCATACCTGGCTAATTTCTGTATTCTTAGTAGAGAGGGGGTTTCACCACATTGGCCAAGCTGGTCTCAAACTCCTGACCTCAGGTGATCCGCCCATCTTGGCCCCCCCAAAGTGTTGGGATTACAGTCGTGAGCCACTGCGCCTGGCCCATTTTATCTGTTCTCACAGCACAATTCACAGAGATGGGAACAGGTGAGAGAGCATGGTAAACAGGTTATGTAGAAGACATTAAAGTTAGCAGCTTTCTTCTTTTTAAATCAACTTTATTGAGGTCTAATTTATATACAAAATATATAGTGTTGGCCGATACAGTGGCTCATGCCTGTAATTCCAGCAGTTTGAGAGGCAAAGGGGGCCACTTGCTTGAGGCCAGGAGTTCGAGACCAGCCTGGGGAACAGGGCAAAACCCCATCTCTACTAAAAAAATACAAAAATTATCCAGGCATGGTGGCACATGCCTGTAATCACAGCTATTCAGGAGCCTGAGGCACCAGAATCACTTGAACCCAGGAGAGTTTTTTTGTCTGTCTGTCTGTTTAGAGATGGGTCTAGCATTGCTGCCCCAGGCTGGTCTCAAACTCCTGGTCTCAAGCAATCCTCCCGCCTCAGCCTCCCAAAGTACTGGGATTACGGGTGTGAACCACCGTTCCCGGCAAAATATATAGAGCTTCTAAAAGGCAATATTAAACTAAAATAAATTTAAGCTTTCATAAATCAAAATTTAAAGCTTAGGTCTATGTGGGGAAATTGTATGCAAAATGTTGTGTGTCATTATGCACACGGGGAGAGGATTCATAGCTTTTAGTAGATTTTCAAAAGATCATCCAACCAAAAAAGAAAAAGGAAATTTAAGAGACACTGTTTTAAATTTATTAACAGAAATTCTCTACTATATAAATTACGCATTCTGCCGGGCACGGTGGCTCACACCTGTAATCCCAGCACTTTGGGAGGCCGAGGTGGGTGGATCACCTGAGGTTAGGAGTTCGAGACCAGCCTGACCAACATGGAGAAACCCCATCTCTACTATAAATACAAAATTAGCCGGGCATAGTGGTGCATGCTTGTTAATCCCAGCTACTCAGGAGGCTGAGGCAGGAGAATCACTTGAACCCAGGAGGCAGAGGTTGCAGTTAGCCAAGGTTGCACCATTGCACTCCAGCCTGGGCAACAGAGCAAGATTCTGTCTCAAAAATAAATAAATAAATAATAAAAATAAATTGTGCATTCTTACTTATTTAGTCAGTTGTGTGGCTTTATAAGAATGTGTTGGTGCGAGGCCATCATGGCAGAAACTGCTGTTTCCTTCTCTTTGCAGAGTTAACACAGTGGTGATTCGTTCGCTGATCTTTTGGGGGTGATCATTAGAACCAGCTGCAAAGCCAGTTCAGCGAAGATGCAGTGGGAGGCAGTATGCACCCTACAGAGTGGGGACTCAGGTGAGGCTGCAACTCACGTTGATGAAGCTGACGTTGAGCTCCTTCGCTGTGTAGCCCCGCTGCAGGTTCCGCCGCGCATACACATCGTAGTCCCGCACAATTCGGGTGATGATGTCTGATGTGGAGATGCCTTCTGTCCTCTGTGTTGGAGCAAACATGCCTAACTCAGAAACACATACAGACAGACACTGTGAAGTTCTGGTTGGCTCCGGTGTGAAGACTACATGGAAACTGGGAGCAACATTCCTTTCCTTTCCTCAAAAAGCAGAATCTGTTATTACTAAATGAAACTGAGATACTGATATACAGAAGGAAGACTGAATCAAAGGCTAGAGGTAAGACAAAGAAGAGTTACGTAGCCCTAATATTAAGAAAAATATGAGGAAGCGTTCCTGAAATTGAAAGATCAAAAGCAGATGTTTAGACCAAGAATCGATGGATGTCATGAACCGATGATGAAGAATTGATGGATCCTATGCTCATCTTTACCTTTTACCCAAAACGTGACCTGAAAGAAGATGTTAAACTTCTAACGGACACATTTTCCTCTGTAAAGTAGCACTATGGCTGAACATCCGCAGCTGCCCCTGAGATTCCATGAAGTGAGGATCACATCAGCCCACTCACCTGCTTCCTTGATGTGCTTATAGACATCATCGCTGCCAGCAGATGAATAAGGGATGTCATCGTGGGCTACAAAATCAATCTGAAAATAAGGAGACGTCATTTAAAACCCAGGATAGCTGCCTTTCAGAAAGACCCAGGAAATGTTCTCAGGCCGAGAAAAAGAACAATAAGCAGACGCCAGGCTTCAGTGGACTTTGTATCTCTCTTTCCTTTGCTCATAAATTCTACAATCTACTCATAAATCACCGACCTCATTATTTATGGAGTATAATATGAATTTAGCCAGCTGCTTTTCTAGCTATTTCTACTAGACTACCAGAACTGTTACCCTCACTCTGTATACCTTCACCTTGCAATGTCAGTAGGGCCAGAGGGTTTGCTGGTGAGCCTGTTCATGGGTGCAGCCTAGGAAAGGTGGAAATCTCCCTGTCCTAGGTCTGGAAGGATTGGTCAAATGAGGGTTTCTAAAAATATGAGAAAGAGGTTACTTCTTTCTTAACTGGTTTCTCTCAGTCCAGGAGAAAAGAGGGAACATAAAAATAGCAACCACGAGTCCTTTGACTGGAATAGATACGTCTATACTCCTGAGAAATACAAACCCAAAGCCAGAAAAGAGGTTTTATTTTCAGGATCTATCATTTTACTACTTTTTTTTTTTTTTTTGAGATGGAGTCTCTCTCTGTCACCTAGGCTGGAGTGCAATGGCACGATCTCGGCTCACTGCAACCTCCACCTCCCAGATTCAACTGATTCTTCTGCCTCAGCCTCCCAAGTAGCTGGGGTTACAGGTGTGTACCATGACACCCAGCTAATTTTTATATTTTTAGTAGAGGAGAAGTTTCACCATGTTGGTCAGGCTGATTATGAAGTCCTGACCTCAAGTGATCCGCCCACCTCGGCCTCCCAAAGTGCTGGGATTATAGGCGTGAGCCACCGCGCCAGGCCATCTTACTACTATTAATATCCTTTGCAAGAGCAGGAAGAGATAAATGGCTCTGGGGTCTCAGTGTTGTTCAGAGACATGCCAAACTTCACGTGCTCCTTCCTGAAAGGGCCACAGGCCTTTTGCTAACAGTTACTAAGATCACTATACCAACTCCCAGAGGCTGCTGCAGTGTGAAGCACGCTGACTGGGGCTGTGTCAGAGATCCTCACCTGGCATCTCAGTTACTCATGAACAACTTGTCAGGGATCCACAGGCAGCAAAGTAAAGAATAGGAGGCTGGGAGGATCACCTGAGGTCAGGAGTTCCAGACCAGCCTGGCCAATATGGCAAAACCCTGTCTCTACTAAAAATAAAAAATTAGCCAGGTGTGGTGGCGGGCACCTGTAATTCCAGCTACTCAGGAGGCTGAGGCAGAAAAATCGCTTGAACCTGGAGGCAGAGGTTGCAGTGAGCCGAGACTACCCCACTGCACTCCAGCCTGGGCAACAAGAGCAAAACTCTGTCTCAAAAAAAAAAAAAAAAAAAAAAAAAAAAAAAAAAAAAAAAAAAAAAAAAAAAAAAAAAAAAAAAGAATGGAATAAGCAAAACTCACAGTTGAGTATATACTGCTAATAAAGAGAAAAGGGAAGTTAGAAAGTCCGCTAACCTCATACTCCTGTCTGGGGTTGTCCAGCTGTGATGCTGAGAATAAGCTTGCTTATCACCTTTGGTGCCACTGGCTGCTAAGTGCTGATGTGGAAAAGCCAGAGAATTATAAAAGGTCTGTCCTAATCCTCAATATTCTCAATCGTCATAATAAACATCCCCTCTTCAGGCCTATGCATGTATTGCTTTAGAAGCACTCTGGCTGCTTTTATTCTGTCTGCCTCCATGAACAGTTTGCCTGCAGCATTCCCAATGCCCCTGTAGGGAGCTGACCACATGCTTGTGTGTCCTCAGGCTTGGGGGCCCCTAACCCGGCCTAATAAATCCTTCTCATCCTTTATACCCAACTTTTACAGGAAACCTGTGGCTTTTCCTTTTTTTAAATAGAGACAGGGTCTTGCTATGTTGCCCAGGCTGGTCTTGAACTCCTGGGCTCAAGCGATGCTCCCACCTTGGCCTCCTCCCAAAGTGCTGGGATTACAGGCATAAACCACCACACCTGGCTGACATCTGTTACTTTAATGTGGGAGAATTAAAAGGAGGAAAGGGGTTTTATAATAACTCACTGAGTAAAATTGAGAAATATCCTTAACTTCTGATTCCACACAATTTCTAGCCTAAGATCAAAGCCCTGAAATGAATCTTAAGAAAAGTCCATGTTAATCTGCCTTGTTTCCCAGTAATGTAAGGTCTTCAGAGTGTGCCTGGGGCTATGGATATGCTAAGGAAACTGGCATGCTGTAAGGGGTGGGGGGAAAGTCACTAAGAGTTCAGTTCCCGGCCCTGCTAAGTGTTACTTGGAGCAGGTTACTTGGTTTCTCTAGGCCTCGTTATTCATATGTGAAGTGGAAATGACAACCACATCACAGGACTGTTGTGGGGAGAAAATGGAATAGAATGAATGCAAAAGTGTTTGCAAACCATCCAACCCTGTGTAATGTCAGGGATGACTGCCACCACTTGGAGTATCACTGTCAGCTCCTATGAAACCTACGAGAAGGTAGAAGTAAAATGGGGCTAGTGGAAAACTAGCCCAAGTGCCACAGGCATTGAGAGTTCAGGCAGTCCTGGAACAAGGAAGGGGACATGTGCCCGGTTTCTTACCCGGTGTTCTGCCAGGAACTCAGGTGTGAGGGTCCAGGGCGCATTCCTCACTACCTCATCCACATAGCGGCAGTGCTGTACTGCATCGTAGCGCTCATTCTCATTCATCACCGTGAAGCCCTTGAAGTTGTGCGTTAGCTCATCACTGCAAACTGAGTTCACCACACCAGAAAGCCGTGAGTCAGAATCCTCTTTGCTTAACCACTCCCGTCTTCTCCCACTTCTTAGGATTGCAACTATCTTCCCCAACTGGAGAAAAGTCTTCTCAAGGTAGTTCAACTTGGGCAACAATGTCTGTCCTAACGCAGCGTATACTTTCAGGAGCAACACTCACTAAGTAGTATGTTCATACTTTGGATAAGAAACAGTGCAACAGGGGACCAAGATCTTTGACTCTGAAATAAACCTGCTGTGCATGTCTGTGTCAATTAAGTTCTTAAACATGTTTTCCTGTTTTATTAACACTGGACTGGACCACATAACATTTCCTTGGCAGGCTTTTGTAATCCAGTTGATTCAAAATGATAAACTGAAATCTAAAGGAAATGTTTTTAAGTAGACAACAGAAGTCACTGTTGCTCCTGTGACTGCAGAAACTCCACTAAAAACAGTGAGATAAATGTCAGATGTCACAGTCAATGAGCTTGAAGCTCCTCTCTCCAGGTTTAGGTTGCTATTACCTCACATACGTCACGTGTTTGAGAGAGGCTGTACTACATCCTTCATTTAAAAATGAAAACAAGAGCCATGTACTCAGGTTGTAAAGACAGAAGAGAAAGAAAGGCTACTATCATCTTTTCTGCACAGCACCCGAAGTCATCAGATGTTTTCTTACCTCCCACGATGAGGTATGTATTAGGGAAAAGGTTCTTTGCTTGCATCAGAGCTCGGGCATGACCAGAGTGAAATAAGTCAAATATTCCATCGGCATAAACTCTCACGGGCCGCTCACCTAATACAAATGAAAGAATTTATCACAAAAATACATTTCTTTTTGAGACTGAACCTTGCTCTGTCGCCCAGGCTGGAGTGCAGTGGTGCGATCTCCAGTGCAACCTCCACTTCCCGGGTTCACGTGGTTTTCCTGACTCAGCCTCCCGAGTGGCTGGGACTCCAGACACATGTCATAACACCTGACTAATTTTTGTGTCTTTAGTAGAGACAGGGTTTTGCCTCATTGGCCAGCCTGGTCTCGAATTCCTGGCCTCAAGTGATCCGCCCACCTCAGCCTCCCAAAGTGCTGGGATTGCAGGTGTGAGCCACCGCACCCAGCCACAAAAATACATTTATTCAATATCTTGTACTTGGCAGATGGAAATGGCACTGTGTGACTGTTCCGTGACTGCACACTCCTTTAAGGTGTTCTCTGGGTATTCACCCTGATTTTGGGGGTAGGTGGGATTATGAAAAACAACATCACAGACTTCCTTGACTATAAGTAAAGACCTTTTCATTTTTTTCTGGGACTGGGTCTCACTCTGTCATCCAGGCTAGAGTGCCATGGTGCAATCATAGCTCACTGCAGCCTCGACCTCCTGGCCTTAAGTGATCCTCCCATCTCAGCCTCCCAAGTAGATGGGATTACAGGTGCACACCACCATGCCCAGCTAATTTTTTAATTTTTTGTGGAGACAATGTTGCCAGGCTGGTCTTGAACTCCTAGACTCAAGCAGTCCCGTCTCGGCTTCCCAAAATGCTGGGATTACAGGTGTGAGCCACCATGCCCAGCCTATAAAGGTATTTTTGACATCATCATCTCCACTAACTGTCTTTGTTAGCCTGGTTGTACCAAACTTCTCAGGCACAAAAAACAACAGAGAACTGACTGTCAACTTAGAAGCAAGGAAATTATTTCCTGGGGTACAAGACTAATTCCAAAGCCAAATAAACATTAAAAATGAAACCAGCATAATGGTTCATCAAAGTTTAAATAATAAATCTAAGGTGTCCATGTAACTTATTTCCTTTATGTGAGTAAAGGAAGAGCTATTTTACTGCAGCACCAGAAAGTAACAGTAGGAGCATCTGCGTCATTTTGGGAAAGATGGGCCAAAGTGCCATCAGATGTGCTACACTGAGGCTGAGGATCAGGCACATCTCCTTCCTGTCTTAAGGGCACAAATCAAAGGAAGGAAGTTGTTCTCAGGAGGTTTATGAATGTTTGTTTTCAAAAAGCTTTATTCATAAACAAGTAGATTTTAAACCAAGAAATTATACATTGCTGAAAGGAATATCAGCGACTTTCCAAAAGGGTAATTAGGTAGTATCTATCAAAAGACAAACAACAAATGCCTATATCTTTGGCCTAGCTATTCCAATTCTGGGAACTACCTCATAGTAAATATAGACGTTATTCATCGCGGTGCTGTTTATAATAGCAACAGTTAGGAAACAGCCTAAATTTCAATGGAAGATTGAATATAGCAATAATACACCCACAACAAGGTGGGAGGATATATAAATGATTTACTTAGATATTCATGGAAATTGGTAATATTGGTTGCCTGTTACAGGGACACCAGGTGGCTGTGAGACAGATCTTGAGAGGAAGACATTTTACTTTATGCCCTCTTTGTACTTTATGGATATTAAACTGTGGGAATGTATTGATTTCCTTTGATTTGATTTTTTGAGACAAGGTCTGGCTCTGTCACCCAGGCTAGAGTGCAGTGATGTGGTCTCAGCTCACTGTAACCTCTAACTCCCAGGCTAAAATGATCCTCCCACCTCAGCCTCCCAAGTAGCTGGGGTTACAGATACACAACACCATGCCCAGCTAATTTTTGTTTTTTGTAGAGATGGGATATCACATGTTGCCCAGGCTAATTGTTTTGTTTTCTTTTGTTTTAATGAGACGGAGTCTGGCTCTGTCACCCAGGCTGGAGGACAGTGTTGTGATCTAGGCTCCCTGCAACCTGTTTGCCGGGTTCAAGTGATTCTCCTGCCTCAGCCTCCTGAGTCGCTGGGATTACAGGTGAAAGCCACCATGCCGGGATGATTTTTGTATTTTTAGTAGAGACAGGGTTTCACCATGTTGGCCAGGCTAGTCTCAAAACTCCTGACCTGAAGCAATCCACCTGCCTTGGCCTCCCAAAGTGCTGGGATCACGGGTGTGAGCCATCACACCCAGCCTAGGCTGGTTGTACTGATTTTAAAATACAGCAAATAAAAATTTTTAATTATACCACCAATCCAATGGAAAACTAATAATTAATTGAATGGATTTAAGAGTCAGAAAGGTCATAGCTCAAGCTTGCCAACCAGCTTTCTTCCTCTGTAGCCTTAGCTTCCTTCTGCCTCAGTATTCACCTCTATGAGACAAAGCAGGCTGGGTGTGGTAGCTCACACCTGTAATCCCAGCACTTGGAAGACCAGGGCAGGAGGATTGCTTGAGCCCAGGAGTTTGAGACCAGCCTGGGCAACACAGTGAAACCTATCTCTATTAAAAATTATTTTTTACTGCCAGCATGTGTCAACGAAAAAAAAAAGAAGAAAAATAATTATTTAAAAAATAATTTTTACAAAAACAAAGTAAAATAAAACAAAATCTGAGCATATAATCCCTCTTCCATATCCCAGAAATCACTGCATTGGCTCTGTGCCTATTAAAAAATAAAAAATTTTAAAAACTTTGGGGCCAGGTGTGATGGCTCATGCCTATAATCCCAGCGCTGTGCGAGGCCAAGGCAGGCAGATCACCTGAGGTCAGCAGTTCAAGGCCTGCCTGGCTAACATGGTGAAACCCCGTCTCTACTAAAAATACAAAAATTAGATGGATGTGGTGGTGGGCGTCATTAATAATCCTAGCTACTTGGGAGGCTGAAGTGGGAGAATTACTTCAACTTGGGAGGCAGAGGTTGCAGTGAGCCAAGATCAAGGCACTGCGCTCCAGCCTGGGCGACAGAGCAAGACTCTGCCTCAAAAAAAAAAAAAACAAAAACACACGCACACAAATTTTAAAGTATCCCAGAAGTCATGTCCATGAAGTAACTAACACACTTCCGTTTTTCCTAACAAGTCCAGAGGGGCTACAAGTCTCACACTATCTGATCCTAAAACACAAGGACAGAATATAAAAAGTAAGACTATTTTGTTGTTTGTTAGCTACTAGGCAGCACACAGCCGGGAAATTATGCTCAAGAAACACATTGCCTGGACGGTGGCAGCAGCACAGAACGCTGCTGATCAGGTGGCTGCCACAGCACAGCTACTCACCCCGTGTTAAGCCGAGGAGATCACTGAACCTTTTCATGAGTCCCAGATGTGCCTCTTGCTCTCTCCAGTGCTGCCCCAGCTTACTTATCTCAACTGGCCACTATTCCACCCCAAGTCGTTGGCAAACCCAGACTGACATATTAACCAAATGGCCAGCAGGGGCCGCTGTTAAACTAGTCTGGGAAGAAAGCTAGCATTAACCATTCTTACCAAGCGGCTGCTGGCCAGGATAACCACACCCCTGATTTATATTTGTTGTTTCCACACACGTATGTGCCGAGACAACAAATGTATATTATAGTATGTATAACATTTATATAAATCATATACTTTTAATATAACTTTTAATGTTCATATCATTATATAATATATATTATACATCTTATAATATATCCTTTGTATATTATACATATTATATATGTGCTTGTGTGTGTGTATATAAATATAAATATATATATATATATATATATTTTTTTTTTTATATAAATATATATATATATATATATATATATATATATATATATATATATATATATATTTTTTTTTTTTTTTTTTTTTTTTTAAAGACAGGGTCTCTGTCACCCAGGCTGGAGTGCAGTGGTGCAATCATGGCTCACTGTACTCTAGATCTCCTGGGCTCAAGCGATCCTCTCACCTCAGCCTCCTGAGTAACTGGGACTATAGATGCACACCACCACAACTGGCTAATTTTTTAAATTTTTTGTAGAGACGGGATCTCACTGTATTGCCCAGGCTGGTCTTGAATTCCTGGCCTTGAGTAATCCTTTTGCCTTGGTCTCCCAAAGTGCCAGGATTATAGGCAGGAGCCACAACACTCAACCTCTGTATATTCTTAACAGCAACTCCCTTTCATGCTCAAAACTGTCCTGATTTGGATGATAAATTATATGGTTTATATGGATTATGAATTATATGCTGTACCACTGGTGACTAAGTAACCATATGTCCTCCCTTAGGCAGAAGAAACCTGGGTTTCAATTAATGATCTCTTTTGATATATTTATTCTCCCAAATACCTACCACCGAAACATTCTGTCTCTAACAGATTTCCATTGCCCTTCACATTCTCCCTTTTTCTTACTTTCTCTAAGTTAAACATACTGCTGATTTTTTTTTTCATCCTCCAAGACATTCCCAGAGCTGACCTTCTTATCTCTCCAATCATATTTGTTTTTCTCTGAGTAGAGAATCTTCTCCTAGACTATACAACCTTCCTAGTGAAAACATGGGGAGCAGGAGGGAGATGTTTAAAATTCACTACAGCACGTGCACATTCTTTATTGGTTTATTCCTTGTCCTGCACTGGCATGAATGCAGTTAGCTACTTGGTGATTTAACATAAAACAGTCAGACAAAATGAGATATGAGAGAAAAACCAGAGTTCAAATGAAGCTGGCAAATTTATAGGCTAGTTTGTGGCTGTTTGTTCCACCAAAAATACAATTATTTTGCTGAAGGCCTTCTATTCTAGTGCTTACAGTAAGTGGCAGCATTCCAGGTTGAAGCTTTAGGTACAATTCTATCCTGCTAATGATCTCTTTTACTGTAGGCTGGGTACAGTGGCTCACTGCTGGAGTCCCAGCTACTTGGGAGACTGAGATTTGAAAACTGCTTGAACCCAGGAGGCGAAGGTTGCAGTGAGCTGAGATCACGCCACTGCACTCCAGCCTGGGCGACAGAGCAAGACTCTGTCTCAAAAAACAAAACAAAACAAAGCTTGAAAGCAGTACATATATTTTCAACTTTTACGTACCACAAATGGCATGTGGACAAATTAGCAACAAACTGGGTGATGCAACCAAACTGATCAGATCTAAATGAATAACTGATTCTAAATGTGTGTCATTAGGGAGTACATAAAAAGTTCTTGCTCCCAACAAACTCTACTATCACACCTGAATGTGAACCTAAACTATCTTTTGGCATTTTGAAGTTAGACCTGCCCACCTTACACTCTGATCCATATGGTCTCTGGTTTTCCTTGTCATTTTACCCTGTCCCAGGAGCCTACCTATTACCCAAATAAGGGAAGCCAAACTCAAAAACCATAAATGAATCAGAGGGTTGCAATCAACATGAACTATATCTAAACATTTCTGCAAAAGGGACGGATTCTCTGGGATTAGCCTCTTTTTTGTTTAGGACCCAAAAACCACAATACATATGCCCAAAATAAGGCCAAGGGGTAGGTGTTAAAATTCCTGATATGACACTTGTATCACTTGTTTGTTTTTTGTTTGTTTTGAGACAGGGTCTCACTCTGTCACCCAGGCTGGAGTGCAGTGGCATGATCTTGGCTCACTGCAATCTCTGCCTCCTGGGTTCAAGCAATTCTCTGCCTTGGCCTCCCGAGTAGCTTGGACTATAGGCGTGCGCTGCCAAGCCCAGATAAGTTTTGTATTTTTAGTAAAGACAGGGTTTCACCATGTTAACCAGGCTGGTCTCGAACTCTTGACCTCAAGTGATCCACCCACCTCGGCCTCCCAGAATGCTGGGATTACAGGCGTGAGCCACCGCTCCTGGCCCACTTCTATTTGTACTTCACTGTTCTTCAGTTACGACAGAGAGCAAACCTACCAACACAATTAAGAAGTAACCGCAAATATACTGTGTATGCTGCAAATATATACATTTACGGCTCTTATTCCCTGGCGTTTGAGTCTTAGTTCAGCCCTACATTTACAGGATAGAGAGAATACTTATTATAGTAATCAGAAACAGTGAAAAAGGATTGGGAAAATTGGAGAATTTACAGAGAAAAAAGAACATTTGTCTATAGGACTTTGTATTCATAACAAATGCTCTTGGAAGTTTCTTTTTATAGTGAGCTCTAAAACCAATTGTTCCACATAAGAAAAGCATCTTGAATATATATTAATAATTTATGTGGTCAAATACTGCTAATTAATGATGTAAATTAAGCACACAAATAAAGAGAAAGGACTTTGAAAATAATAAAGTATTTTTTAAAACTTGGAAAATTATAATATCAGGAAAAATAAAGTGATGAGCATCTCCCAACTTGGGATATTTTTGTCCTCTGTCAATCAGCAGGACCACAGAAAACTGACAGAAAGTAGAAAGATTGTGGGGGAAATTCTGAAGGCTATGAAAAATGTGACAGCCTGAACTATTATTCAGACCTTTACAGAAATAGACAAGAACCAGCTCAGACGAATATACTGTCTTATGGTTTCTGTTCTACTATATCTCATAGCTGCAATAACAGCCCAGGAAACTGGGAAAGTTTATGGAGTGGAGTTACCCTCCTAAATAGAGCATCAAGGCCGATGGGAAGAACCCCTTCCTCCATTAGCCTTTACAAGTAATCGGAGGGAAGTATTTAGAGACTAGGTGTGTATTTGATCAATACAATGGAATGCTAAAAACAATAATCAACAGCAAATTAAGTAGGTATTTACTTACAAGGAGTTCCTCTACTGGCTTCTTCCATAGTTACCCTGACATAGGGCTTACTAAAGTCAACTTCAATTTCATCAGAAAAAGGAGCTGGTTGCCGCAAGCCCTTAAGAAAAGGAAAGTGAATGAAAAGAAAGTTCAATTCAATGGCATACATGGAAATACTAAAAAAATGGCAGCTTTAAAGAAAAATCAGTTATTCGATATGATGTGACTAAAATTTTTCCTAAAACATTGTAACATAAAAAAGAAGGGAACAAAAGGTATTCCAAACCGACAAATGAAAGTTGTAATCTTTTACAAAATGGGCAAATCGGGGCATAAAAAATAAATGTCTTGCAGGTGATTTCAGGTTAAGATGGAGCCATCTGTCTGGGAAACCAAGCACAGTCCCAACTAACTGGGTCAGGAATGATGGCTCCTCTGCAGCATGGCAAAACAGCCAGCCCTGTATCATGTGACAAACTGCCAAGATGCATATGCATTTTCTTTGTTTTCTTTTCTTTTCTTTTTTTTTTGAGACAGAGTCTCACTCTGTCACCCAGGCTGAAGTGCAGTGGCATGATCTCGGCTCACTGCAAGCTCCACCTTCCGGGTTCAAGCGATTCTCCTGCCTTAGCCTCCTGAGTAGTTGGGATTATAGGTGCCCGCCACCACACCCAGCTAACTTTTGTATTTTTAGTAGAGACTGGGTTTTGCCATGTTGGCCAGGCTGGTCTCAAACTCCTAACCTCAAGAGATCCACCTGCCTTAGCCTTCCAACGTGCTGGGATTATAGGTGTGAGCCACCGCGCCTGGCCCCTAAGTGCATTTTCACACCACTTCAACCAGGAACCCCCTTCGCTGTCAGGGGGTCTGTGTGACCACGGGGTGCAGCAGAGCCAGGTGTTCGGCTCCCTGCACCGGCAGGGGGCAGGAACGGTAGTGGAGGACCAGCTCAGGCATGCTGGGGAAGGGCCCGCTGTGTTGGCCCAGCACCACCTGGTTCTCTCGGGTCCGTGAGAACTTCAGATGCAGGAACCCCTGGCTAGAGCAGGTGCTTTATTAAGTGTAATTATTGCTGTGTAGTGCTTTACACTGTAAATATGTTCTAATGCTCGTAACAGCCCTGTAAGGCAAGAAGTACTGTAACTGGTATCTTCAGTTTAAGGATGAGAGGAACGAGGCAGGGCACAGTGGCTCATGCCTGTACTCCCAGAACTTTGGGAGGCCAAGGCAGGCAGATGACCTGAGGTCAGGAATTCCAAGACCAGCCTGGCCAACATGGTGAAACCCTGTCTCTACTAAAAATACAAAATTAACCGAGCATGGTGGCATACCTGTAATTCCAGCTACTTGAGGGGCTGAGGCATGAGAATCACTGGAACCCAGGAGGCAGAGGTTGCAATGAGCCGAGATCGCACCATTGCACTCCAGCCTGGGCCACAGAGCAAGACTCAGTCTCAAAAAAAAAAAAAAAAAAAAGAATGAGAGAAACAACGAGATTCAGAGAAGTTATGTAAACTGCATGCAGTTACTCAGAGGCCAAGTTGAAATCATTATGCAGACATGTTGATCTCTCTATTATAGATGGCTTCACTTAAGAGTTTTTATTATTCCTAAATATTTTATTTACTTGATGCTATTGTAAACAGAATTGTTTTCTTAATTTTATTTTTGGATTGTTCCTTGATACTATGTAACAGTGCAGTTGATCTGTATTTGTGTTTGTGTAACTGAGCTTTTCTGTATATTGATCTTATGTCCTATGTCTTTGCTGAAGTTAACTATTACTTCTAGTACCAGTTGTTGTTTTGTCAATTCCCTGGCATTTCCTACATACAGCATCATGTTGTCTGTGAATGAAGATAGTTTTGCTTATTCTTTTCCAATCTGGGTTTTTGTTTTTGTTTTTTTTTGAGAGTCTGGCTCTGTTGCCCAGTCTGGACTGCACTGGCGCCATTTTGGCTCACTGCAACCTCGACCTCCCCGATTCAAGTGATCCTCCCATCTCAGCCTCCCAGGTAGCTGGGACTACAGACATGCACTACCTGACACCCACGTACTTTTTTATTCTGGCTGAGACAAGGTCTCACCATGTGCCTAGGCAGGTCTCAAACTCCTGGCCTCATGCAATCCTTCCACCTTGGCCTCCAAAAGTGCTGAGTTTATAGGTGTGAGCCACCATACCCAGCTAATTTTTCGTATTATTTTTTTAATTCAGTCTCCATAGAGACTGTCAAAAAAATTGCTAATGCTGACTATATTGCAAGTCATCACAGAGGGGTATTGGGAAAAGTTTTCAAGTAGTAATAATCATGCCTCAGATAAACCTCAGTGGCTACTGTGCAAAACTTTTTTTAAAATTACTGCTACTGTGCAAAGCTTTTTTTTTTTTTTTTTTTTTTTTTTTTTGACAGAGTCTGGCCCTGTCGCCCAGGCTGGAGTGCAATGGTGCAATCTTGGCTCACTGCAATCTCTGCCTCCTGGGTTCAAGCAATTCTACTGCCTCAGCCTCCTGAGAAGCTGGGATTACAGGTGCATACCACCATGCCCAGCTAATTTTTTGTATCTTTAATAGAGACGGGGTTTCACCTTGTTGGCCAGGCTGGTCTCGAACTCTGGACCTTGTGATCAGCCCACCTTGGCCTCTCAAAGTGCTGGGATTATAGGCGTGAGCCTCTGCGCCCAGCCTGCAAAGCTGTTTTTTAAAAATTATTATTAATTTTTTAGAGATAGGGTTTTGCCATGTTGCCCAGGCTGGGCTCGAACTCCTGGACTCATGCGATCCACCCAGCTCAACCTCCCAAAGTGCTGGGATTACAGGTGTGAACCACTGCACCTGGCCTGGGATTTTTAACTATTGTTTGTTTCTTTTTTTCTTTTTTTTTTTTTTTGAGACGGAGTTTCGCTCTTGTTACCCAGGCTGGAGTGCAATGGCACGATCTCGGCTCACCGCAGCCTCCGCCTCCTGGGTTCAGGCAATTCTCCTGCCTCAGCCTCCTGAGTAGCTGGGATTACAGGCGTGCGCCTGTTAGAAATAACCCAAATGTCCATCAATGAATGGATAAACAAAATGGAATGTCCATATGATGGAATATTATTCACCTATAAAAAGGAATAAAGTACTAACAGATGCTACCACTTGGATGATCTTGAAAATACTATGCTAAACAAAGGAAGTCAGACACAAAAGGCCACATATTGTATGATTTCATTTACATTAGATGTGCAGACTAGGCAAATCCATAGAGACAGGAAGTAGATCCGTGGTTGCCAGGGGGTAGCTGGAGGGGCAATAGGGAGTGACTGCTAATGAATACAGGGGACTTCTTTTTGTGATGATGAAATGTTCTGCAATTAGATAGTTGTGATGGTTGTACAGCAGGATGAATATACGATAAACTACTGACTTGTATACCTTAAAATGGTTAAAATAATGAATTTTCTCCAAATTTAAAAAGATATATTAAGTATCTTTCACAACTGTTTCTTCAGTCTTTTTCACATACTTTGTATGTTTCCAGGTAGAAGACAAATCCAGCTGTCCTTCCTGGCTGGGGTTTATGCTGAATCAGTTTCTCCCAAGCGTAGGGAGTAAAACCTAACGTTGTGCAACTATAACAAAGCAGCAAAATCTTTTTTTTTTTTTTTGAGATGGAGTCTTGCTCTGTCGCCAGGGGTTTCACCATGTCGGCCAGCATGGTCTCGACCTCCTGACCTCATGATCTGCCTGCCTTGGCCTCCCAAAGTGCTGAGACTACAGATGTGAGCCACTACGCCCAGCCCAAAGACTTTGTTTCCAGAGTTGTCTTCAGTTAGAAAAGTCAGTATTTTTAAAAACACCGTGTAATTCTCAAAGAACAGTGTCTCTAGAAGTGGAGGTTCATAAAAGTAGAGCTGAGTATTTCTATGTTCTCCTAAAACACATCTCCTTCATTTTAACCTCAAGGGAGTCCCTACAGTATTGCTTTCAAGTCTTACGACTATCTGGTAGTGCGGTATAAATGGAAGTGTGTGGGGTTAGGACTTGAAAAATTTAGATCTAAATCCCAACTCCATCATTTCACAGCAGTGAAATCACAGCAAGTTTCTAAAGCTTTCATTTCATCTTCTATAAAACAGAAGACAATAATACCTGCCCTACAAGTTTACCATGAGGATTAAACAAAACAGCATCCACAGAGTAATTAACACAATGTTTACAAAAGTCGGCACTCAACAAATTCAGCTCATTGTCATAAGCTCGTTTCCTCTTTATTCTATAGAATGCAGATTTCAGCATGCTAACAAAATTAACCTTTATTAATCTAAGAGGTTGGCTTCTAAAATGCTAAACTTTCAAAATGTATGCAGCTAAAAATTATAATAATGGCCATCAACCATCCCCAAATTATGAATTCTCTCTGAATGCAATATTGCTTCCATAACAACTTTTTTCAGACTATATTCACACACATTATCTCACTATTCTTCAAAATTTCAGTGAAAAGTGAGAGATTCTAGCATCCATACTAACAGGGAAATGGAGATAATTCAAATAAGATGAGACTAGAACTTGATATTGTCTTCCCAAAGTACACGTTTTACTAAAAAGTTTCTGAATGCCACAGAAAAACATTTATTTCCCTTTTACCCAAACATTCTGTATTAATGATAACAGGTCCTTCCGTGAGCCCAGCTGTTTCTATTTTTTTAAGAGACAAGATCTCACTTTGTCATCCATGCTGAAATGCAGTGGTGCGATCATACCTCACTGTAACCTTGAACTCCTGGGCTCAAGAGATCTCCCTGCCTCAGCCTCCTGAGTAGCTAGGACCACAGGTGCACACCACTATACCCAGCTAATTTTTCAATTTTTTTTTGTAGGGACAGTATCTCACTATAATACATTCCCCAGGCTGGTCTTAAATTCCTGGCCTCAAGGGATCCTTCCACATCCCAAAGTGCTTGGATTATAGGCATGAGCCACTGTGCTTGGCCCAATTATTTCAATAATGCCACGGGAAAGGCTACAGAGTCAGGAGGAATACCATGTGGCGTGAGAAAGAAGGGACAGGGAACAGAGCTGAAAGATTCCACCTCTTGGGCATCTGTTTTTAGAATAGAAAAACAATAATTCTCCCT